CCTGTTTATTTTGGTTTTGAGCAGTGATTCTTAATGAGAAATAATAAGCCAGAAAGAGAGCTAAATGCAGAATAAATGTTTATGTTTTGGTCACACTCTCTGCGGTGGGCTTGATTGGACATGAAACAGGCCTGCAGAATAAGCACACTAGTCCATTCTGAATCAGTGCAGCCACAGTGTGATTTTCCATGTTAGGTTTGGAACGGTACGTCTGAACCAGCACAGGGGATGCGGTGGATAGGGTACGTCTATCGTGTGTGAGAGTGAAAGCTGCATGCGTGTGTGTGGCAGTGGGGTGGACGGATTGTTGGGTGGTCCTTGGGACAGATAACATACACACAGACACACACAATATTTAGTCACAGCGGTCTCCGCCACATTACAGTTATTATTCTCTCATTTGGGTGATTTCTAGCTCAATGTACTGTTTGACAAATTGCACTGATGGAGAAACATGGGATTCAGAGGTTTTATGGCTTTCAGATCCGTCTTTTGTGGTTTTGAGCAAGAATGCAGCCTGAGCATAGACTTTGAACTTCTATTAATAACTACAGAGCACAGATATAGTGAAATGCAATGGAAAATGTTAGTACATTTCATTAGAATAATTTATTCTGTCAAAATGTCATATTGCTGAAATATTTTACAAACTTTTGGAATAAATAAAGATTAACTTTTATTTTTTCTATATATTTTTTATTTTATATTAACTGTGCTATTTTGATCTAAAAAGGGCATTAATGGTTTTGTCTTAGCTTTGTCAGAGAAACAGAAAAATTGTTAACTTGGAACTACTCTGGAAAAATAAAATAAAATGAAATAAAATTATCATTTTATTTGATAAAAAATATTTTACAAAAAATATAAATAATATAAAATTGTATTCTTTGTTATTTGGTAAATATCTGTGGTATTCAAGATTAGCTCTGGAATAAAAAACAAGTAAAAAGAAGTAGTTCAAAGACTACAATTATCTTTCTCTGACACAATTAAGACAAAAGTTGTGCTTCTCCCATATCAAAATATGGGTATAATTGCCCCAAGTTTAACCAATTTCCATCCAACATCCCTCCAGAAATCACCTTGAAAGTAAACATATTGCAATTTCAGGCATTTTCCATGCGGATTCCTCAAATCAACTGTGATTTTTTTGGCAAGAATAGAGGAACTGAGACTGGATAAAAACAAAACCGTAACAGTGTTTGCCCAGAGGGCTCTCACCCACACTCTCTACCTGTATACAGGTCTGACCACTGTTTAATTCCACATGATGCAATGAACCCCACTTCCACAGCAATGATCTCCTGCACCCACAGTTCCTCTTTGCTCACGTGCTTTTAGTCAGTCTTACACACATCTTGCAACGTCAGTCACTTCTTGTCTATCACGACGTAGTCCTGGCCAGTTACACACACACACACACACCTGCCTTGCCAGCCCCTTTCTCCTCCATTCTGTAGGTCTGGCCAATTACAGGCCTTATCTGTGAGTGAGAATAATGAGGTTACACACTGAGCAAATTCTATCATGTCTCTGTAATGAGATTTGGGTTGAGCTGCGTTGCTGCTGTGGACGGGGTGGAGGACAGACACACTCACGCTCATGGCACGTTATCTGCTCCCCATCTCTCCGCCTGACATTCCAGGAAATTGCATTCCAGTGAAGGAGGGAGCAGAGGAGTCAGTGACAGTGTCTCACACACACACACTACCTTTGCCTTTCTCTCTCTCACTCTCTGTCCTCTGACAGCCTTTTTGATTTATGGCTCCAATTCCCTGGTGCAGATGCAGCCTGCACTCATAACCGTGTATATGTATTTTATTTTGCTGCCCTCTCCTTGCCTCAACTTCTGTGCTTTCACATTCTCCTGCACCGCCCTGATTGATTATCCCATCCACACTGTCTACAGTGTTTCTCATCTTTCAGAAGCATAATCTCTCCCAACAGCATGAGAGAAAGAGAGGGAGAGACTCTGAGGACTGAATGTAAAGTTTAAGTCCTGCTTCAATCTGGAAAAATTCCAAGCTGGCTGAATGAATGAATTGGGCATGACTATATGAAAAGGTATTGGAAAGTGAGTGTATTTGTCTGTCTTAAAATGGAGTTCACAGAGTTGATATTTTAGGATTGTGGCTTCACTGGCTTCAGGGAGATTTGGCAGGGATGACTATGGTGTTACTGCTTTGTCTCAACCTGTATACAAAGTCTTTTTTTTTTTTTTAGATTTGTTAAATGATATAAAAGTGCAGTAATCTTTATGACTAAAAAAGTGGATATATATGCACTACTGTTCAAAGGTTTGAGGTCTTTTGGAAGTACCTTTGGATTCTCTCTACAGATTGTCATATGCCAAAGAAATATGTTTATATATATAAAAAACCTCACTGACCCCTTTTAAACTTTTGAATTTTAGTGTATTGTTCCAGTATGTATAAATACATACAGTGCACAGCATAAATGAGTACACCCCCTCTGATTAAATATAAAAGATGTATTTTCTTAATGATCACTAATATAATTCATAGAAAGATGGCAAAATTGAAATGTATTAAACATATTCTTAATAAAAACAGAGAAATACATGCCATTAATATCTGTAAAATAAGAAACTTAGCCAATTTTTGTTTAAATTAAGAATTGCAGAATTGAGTACAACCTAGATTTAATTCAACCAAGTGCAATATTCTAGAACTTAATATGTCCTCCATAACTCTAAGTACACTGCTCTGACACTTCTTGGCACTGAGTGTACAAGTTCATGACAAATTTTCACATCTGTGCTGTTTAACTCCTAGAGGACGACCTCCTTAAATGCCCTGGTCTTTAATGGGGAGTGTTGCTCAGCTCGTCTCTACAGAATCTCTCACAGCAGCTCAAGAGTGTTAAGATTGAGTGAAATACATGTCCACTGAAGGATTTTCAACTCCTGAATGAGAATGAATATCTTCATTGTCATGTTACAAAAAATGCCCAACAATGCAGGGAATGAGAAGAGGGAAGCATCTTCAGTTTCAGGTTTTTGTATTACATCACAGAGTGGTGTGTGAATTCATGACAGCGTTGATAAAGCACAACTCCCTTACACCTTCAGCACTCATTCATCCCTATAGAAGAGCTTTACTACCACTGAATGCCACTGTGGGAACCAGGCACTTCTCTCTGTACTCCTCCTCTAGCAACACCAGAACATTTTGGATGCTGTTAGATCCGAAATGATTGAATTGGTCTCATGAGACCAGAGTATGGATCCCCAAAATCTATATTTTGTAAATATGGGCTCTGGAAGAGGTTAAATTAGTTTATTGTGCTTTGGCTACAGTCGGTAGTTCTGGTGTGGATAAACAACCATGCATGTCACTTCTGCAGGCTGCGTCATACTCTGTGAGATAAAGTGTCACTCTTTTCACAGCTTTTACCGGCTCTGAGACACTTTCACAGTGTTTCTCCTGCTCTTTTTCTAGCAAAAACTCACTCATCACTAAATGAAAGCTTAAAGTGAAGACCTGATTATTTAAGGGACCTTTTCACAAGTCCATTGTTTTTGAATTTCTGTGTTACTTTGGCTATATTTTCACACTTAAAACAATAATTTGGTATTCCTCTTGTACCATTGTCCTCTTTTATGCTAAGAAATAAATCTCCTGACAGTTCTCTCTCAAGTGGTTTCATTATTGTCAGCATTAAGTCTGCGTATGATTCAGTGGGCCATATAACACTTCATTATCAAGAAATTACTTACCTTTAACAGTTTAACATACTTACTTGTTGATCAATACTTGCCTTAACCTTACACCAGAATTTTATTTTGTTTGTTTGTTTGTTTTATTTAGTAACTTTTAGGAGGGTGTACTCATTTTTGCAACACAACATTTTATCCCTTTGATAAGAAAATTGTATTTTCTTGAATAATTTTAACATTCGTCTTTGGTAACTGATCAAGCAGACTTGCTGGAATATCATATCTCTAAAAAACCATAACATGTCTTCTAAGCAAAGAGTAATTGCTGAATTTGTTAAGTTTCAGAGGGGGTGTACTCATTTATGCTGTGCACTGTACATAAAAAATAAATAATAATAATTACACATCACAGACTTCAAAAAGTGTCGTCATCCAGACTCTTTTCAATTATGTTAAACCCCAGAGCTCTAGGATGAGCCACAGATGAGCTAAGGACACACACATGCTAACCGCCAAAGCCAATGCCTGTGGTGTGTTATAGCTTCCAGGTTAGCTGCTAAGATGCTAACATGCTTTGGGCCATATAGTTAGCATCTAATCATGTTCGCTGGCTTTAAAAATGGTGCTGTTGGCCACGTAAAAAGAGAGCAAAAGCAGACATCCTTCAATGCACACAAGGAGGTGACAGTGAAAGACTCGAGGGGACAATCTGTGCCAACAATTATGGTAGCGATCATAAAGAATAATAATTAAGCTGCCAAAAGTGTTGTAAATGGAGTGTTTTTAGTCAAACCAGCACGGTCTTGTGCACATGATGTTGCGGCGAACACAAACATAAAACATTGCATGTGTGTTTATGTGTCCACATCTCAAGACATTTTAAAAACCTCTCCAGACCCTCATCATGCTTTCATCATTTCCTTCACCATAAGCCTAGAGGATGCTACTTATGGGACCACTTCTTTACTAAAAAATGAAGTTCCCAAAAAGCCTTTGGCTTCCATAGTGAGGGATTATTATATTTAAACCTTGCTCTCACTCAGTCTCAGTTGTCTGTCATTAAACTGATCCTAAGTTTATGTGTAAATGAAATCTTACTTACTTATGCAGGCTATACACATTTAGCTGAACCCGTTCAGGAAAACCTTGTTAGTTGAGTTTTCTAATCAGAGAGCGAACGTAGTGGTGTTTCAACATATTAAAGAACTGCTGAGAAGGCAGTTGTTTACAACATGTAGGATAAAATGGGAGGAAATATTTAAATGTTTTTCTGCTCCTCTCCTTTTTCCTTATGCATCCCCTCCACTCCTGTCCTCGTAACAAATCTCTCTCTCTCTCTCTCTCTCTCTCCACAGCCTCTCGTGGTCTATGCAGGCAGCAGTATTGATAGGGTAATTCAGGCATGATGAACGACCCGATAATCACGAGACAGCTGAAATAAATCACACTCTGATCAATACACACACACACACACAGATCATTACCCTGCTGTAATGCATCCTCCATTAAAGCAGCACACACAAACACATATGAGCAAGCATAATGGAAAGGAGAGGGAAATGAAAATATTGTGTTTCTATAATGTAGAGGCAAAGATTGATGAGGGGTTTGGGCTTCTTTTGAACCGTAGACAAAAATGGAGGCCAAAGTCTTTTCCCAATATCTTAAGAAATATTACCAGGGTTATGTCATTGTAAAGGTCATGATGCATTAAAATAGCACTGGAATGTCCTGTGTCCTGTGCACAGTGCCTAAGGACATATTTTGCAATTCCATCTTAATATTGTCTCTATTGGCCTGTACTTATCTGTCTGACTCATAGCATTAGCGACATGTCCGACAAAGACAGCCAGCAAGCAGCCACTCATATAGCTCAACAACAATGGTGAATGCGCCTAGTAAAAATAAGTACGGAGGCAATTTATCTGTGCATGTTTAAGCTAGTGTTCTGTCAGCCTCACATGATTGATAAGAAAGTTCTTCCCGAAATAAAAATTCTGTCATTTACTCACCCTAATGTTGTGTCAAATCTGAATTACATTTTTCTTCTGTAGAACATAAAAGGAGAAATTCTGAAAACTGCGTTGGACTCGCTTTTACATGCAATCACAATAAACTGAGTCTGAAGCATTTAACCTCCAAAATAATAATAATAATAATAATAAATGAAATAAAAATACTATTAAAGCATCATAAAAAGAACTTATGCACTATACTCCAAGTCTTCTAAAGCCATATGATAACTTTGTTTGAGAAATAAACCAAAATGTTGCCATTATTCACATACCTCCACTGTAGCTCTCTTTTAGATATCTTATATCTCACTACACTTCTGCATATTCAGATTTGCTGCATCACATGACACAGCACACTTTTATTAAACCTGACAGTTTCCATCTACAGGTGCCATTTTTTAAAAGACGGTATAATTTTCAGTGAATAATGACCTAAAATTGGGTTTGTTCATCACATAAATCTATTTTATGGCTTCAGAAGACATGGAACATAGCAGACAATATTTTTTATGATACTTTTATGGTGCTTTTCTGTCATTTTAAAGCTTGACAGTCTGGATCCTAATTCATTCTCAAAGACATGCCAGTAAAAGTGTCACATAACACAATCGAAAAGTCGGCTGGTCATGTGATCTCAACATGTCGCCCCAATGAGGTGAGTTGGTGCATGTAAAATAAATAAGCTTTTATTAGGTTAATGATATGAGTCTTAATTTAATGTTATTATACATGATTTAAATATATATATATATATATATATATATATACATTTTTTTTTTATTTCTCTTTGATCCAAAAGAAACCCAGTT